ATAAAGCAGTCGATTATAGAGAAAAAATAGAAACATTCAAGGCGTAGTTGAAGCTTTAAGAAAGATGAGATGGTGCTACAATTTAAATTTGCCAAAAGGGATGATAGGGCCTTGCAGGAGAATATTTTGACAGATAAACAAAACTTAGAGAGAGGAAGTCGAGAGATTGTGAAAGGAAGCCCCAGGTTTGAAGCTTTGAAGAAGAAGAGATTTCCTTCTCAAGAAAATCCAATGAATATGGCTGAGATCATTGCACTTTTACAAGGATTGAAATTGTTAAAAGACAAAGTAATTGCGGGTATAGAGAGAAAGAGAGGGCATGTAGAGAGAGAAAGAGAGACAGAGAGGGGAGGTAGAGAGAGAGAGTGAGAGAGGGTGGTAGAGACAAAGAGAGAGGGTGGGTAGATAAAGGGCGGGTAGAAAGAGGAGGACATTTTAGTTTTGATTTCTTTGACTTTTTGGAGGGGGTTAATTACGAGAAAAAATAGTTTCTGGTTAAAAAAAGGATTGGGGTAGGAAGTTTTTAAAGTTGATTTAGGGGTATCTATAATTTTCCCAATATATTTTTATGACTTTTTAATTTTTTTCAAGTGGCCCGAGTTGGACCGAAGTACTGGGCTCGGCAAGGAGCTGAGTCCGAGTAACTCGGCTGAGTCTGAGGGGACTTGGCTGAGTTTTCAATCATTGAATCAAATTAGATGAAAATTCTAGAGTCAATGTTGCTGTCATGCGTAAGTTCCTTCTTTGAATCTTTTGGTAAATATTATATTTTGTTCTAGATAAATGAATGATGAAGTTTATATAGGGCCTAGGCTTTATGAAAACAAAATAAGCCTCACCTTAAATCCGCATCCAAAAAGCACTTTCGGCATAAAAAAATCCATGATGGCTCTAAAGTCAATTTTCAACACTGATTATAAAATTTGAAACTAAAAAATGGTACAGATCTTGTGGATCTGCGAAAATTTTTTTAGGGCGAAATGGACAGTCTAGATGTTTTGTTGCAATATACACTATTTTTAGAATTTAAATCCTCATTTTTTTGATAACCATAATGTTCAAGCTGAGATGATTGATTTCAATGTTTTCGATGAGTTATGAGGTGAGGCTTTACTTATTTTGATAGGGCTGCAGCCCTATCAAACCATTTTCCTAAATGAATTAGCATGCATAAGTTCCTTCTTTGAGGCTTTTGGTAAATTGGAGCTTCGATAAACATTATGAGGTGGGGCTTTACTTATATTGAAAGGGCTGCAGCCCTAGCAAACCATTTTCCTAAATGAATTAGCATGCATAAGTTCCTTCTTTGAGGCTTTCGTTAAATTGAAGCTTTGATAAACATTCTATATCATTCTAGTTAAACCAATTGGTATCAATAGTGCTTGTGGTTTACCCTCTGTCCAAATTTCACTCAACCATGACGATTTTTTTTGGGTAATTCAGTGGGGATGATAATCCCCTACCCGTTTTTTGAAATCATTAGTGGTTTTTGAATGGATTAGGTGAGAATGGAAGCCTAGACCTTAGTTGGGGAACAAGTGGTGCTACTACCATGACCCCAACCTCAACCCCATTCTGTCAACCATGGCGCTTTAAGCATTGCTTAACTACTTGTTGCTGGTGAAATTTTGTCTAGATAAGGTAGAAGGCCTCCATTTTTTGCAGATTATGTACTTTATTGTTGTAATTATCTTCCTTTCATATGGCGATGAATCTTGTTTGGTTATTTTTATATTAGCTTCAAAACTAATTTCAATTATTCGTGCTCACTGGCCATGTTTCTGCATTCAAAAGCTCTAAGGAGCAAGTAATTCTCAATATTTCTTTTTGCTACATGAGCTGATTTCTTATTAACTCTTATGCTTCCTAGTTCCAATAGTTCTTATGGGATTCTAGATTATATAATTTTTTATTCCTTATTATGCATATTTCTTGAGCATTTCTTCATTTTAATTCTTCTGGGACCTTCTCCTTTGGATACAATGTGCTTGGTGGTTCTGAAGAATCTTCATGTTAAAGGCATTACATTTGTGATGGGCTTTATGTGATCAGGGATGATGTCTGACCCGAAGAATCTTTATGTTAAAGGCATTACATTCGTGATGGGCTTTATGTGATTAGGGATGATCTCTGACCAGCTTGTGGTGGTTTTGCAGGTTGTATATATCTTATGTCTGCCCATTTGCTCAGCGTGTTTGGATTGCAAGAAATTACAAGGTTTTTTAGAACACATTAGATTGATTTCTTAAATCATCTTGTTTTGTCCGTTTCGCCCATGTCACTTTCTTTCATTCTTGTTATCATTTTGATTATTTGACAATGCCTTTTCAAAAATACTGGAGTTCTTATCCAAACTTTCAAAATTTTAAATGTCAATTAATCTTGTTATGTAGGAAACAAAATTTTCTTTTGTTATATAGGAAACAAAATTTTCTTTTGTTATATAGGAAACAAAATTTTCTTGCTTGTCGTTTCCATCCTCTGTTTTAATGCAGGGCTTACAAGATGAGATGGAATTACTACCTATTAATCTAGCAAACCGACCTTCTTGGTACAAGGAAAAAGTCAATCCTCGGAACCAGGTAACTTTCATGTTCAACATAACTTTCAAAAAAGGCTCAAGTCTCCAATTTCGAGCCTTTAATATAAATGGTTATTGGTCGTCATTATTGACAGGTGCCTGCACTTGAGCACAATAAACAAGTCATAGGGGAGAGTTTAGATTTGCTCTATTATCTTGATGTGCATTTTGGAGGCCCAAAACTTCTGCCTGATGTAAGATGGTGCAATTTGTGCTCTTTAATTGTGGACGGGAACATTCCAAATTCAAAATGTTGAGATTGCTATCTTTATGAAATGTAGGATCCAGCAAAGAAAGAGTTTTCAAATGAGTTGGTCAAATATAGTGTGGACTTCATTAAAGATATGTACACTGCTTGTACTGCAAAAGAAGATGTGGAGAAGAAACTGAGTAAGTGCAAGTCCATGAATCAAAGCTTCCCTTCTTACACAGAACCTTTTGTGTGCCTGCTACTCCCATATTAATATTTACAAGTTCGTATTATTCTTTTAATGTTTACCAGGTCTCCCTTTTGATTATCTTGAAAATGCTCTTTCCAAATTTGAGGATGGTCCCTTCTTTCTTGGTGAATTCAGCATGGTAAATCTTGTCCTCGTGTATCCTCCTAGTGTTTTTGATCCTTTCACATACCACACGAATAATTCTTTTTTATTTTTCTCTCTCTTCTAAGTAAATGCTATTTACAAAGGAAAATAGATTAGAAAACAATGCTAATTATTTGTCGCCTTTTATCAGTCAGCGTTTTTTCTGCTATTTGTTGTTATGATTTTGTTGGTGATATTGATATTCTTCTTCTACGTGCATTTGTTCAACCTTTAATATGATTTTTCTGAATAATTCCATATAATATGCATACAATTCCAAGGGTAATGAGTAATATTCTGTTGAAATCTGTATTTTTGGTGGTCAATTGCTATTGTGGAACACTATCAAATTTAATTTTGGATTGATTTCAGAATCAATTGTGACACAACAATTATTTGTAATATTTGGACTCGATCAGTCTTCAAACAGAGAAGTATTCAACTGTGGACCGAATAGGGGACTACTATACTATGCAGCATCCGTAGCATTGTTTTATGGACTGTAATAGTGTATGCATATTACATGTCAGCAATAGCACTGCTTGAAACCTGGAGCACAAATTCAAGAATCTCATAAGTTCGTTCAGTTGAAGCTCACAAGAGGGGCCATTAACCAGACCATGGAAGTAGGAAATGATTTGAATCCTATAGAACTTGACGAATTATTTATAGAGCTCGTTCAGTCTGCTAGACTTTCGCAAGCACATGTTTTACTTGGTTTCCAATTTATGTTGACCCTTTTCTTTTTGGTTGGGAGGAGGGAGGGGTTGGGGGCGCAATTCATGAACCAAAATCCCTAAGACATTGGTATTTCTATAGGTCTTGCAGAGTTCCACCATGGATCACATTAACTTTGAGGTTGTTATTCATTTGTACCAGTATTAAAGGGAAACATGGGGTTGTATGCTCTAGTACGGTTTTAACTTGTAAATACCAACAACCTAAAGTTGAAGCTACATGTGGTTTGGAGCCCAATCATAAAGTTTAATAATTTCTCAAGGTTCATAATTTTTGTACTTCCATTTTTTAATTTTCTGATTTCTTGAGACTTTACTAGAAAGCATTAGTCTCCAATTCCTGGACAGTTAGGGTTGAATAAGTCTCAAGTTAAGTTGGAGTTTTAAAACTGTGGTTGATGTATGTAAATCCAAGCCAATATACTCCTTTTTGGCATTACATCCGTTGTATATACAATCACATCACAATAGTTTGGTCATAAATGACCAATGCTGATTTATATAGTGGCAGTGTATTCTAACTCTAGTCATCTTGGAGTAGAGAACTGAGAAACATATTTTTGAATTCGGTTACGTTCCTTTGCATGCAAGAGATCTGGTTTTTGTTGGAATCATATCAGTGTTACATAGATGCTGACTCTTGTCAGCGTGAAGTACGTGACTAACGTGTGTCGTACTTCATGCCAAAAAGCTAGTATGATTAGCACGTCTTTAAAACTACTTTTTAATAGAAAAGTTGTAATAATGGAAAAAATAGAAATAAAAATAATACAAGAAAACAACAACATAAGATGTGAACTTTTTGGCAGAAATACTACAAATTTATTGTTTGTATATTTTTTAATTTTTTATTTTTAAAAATAATTATTCTTTCACTACCTATTATATATATTTATGAAGTAAATTGGTTAATTTCACCAAATTAGTATTTCAATCTGATTTATCGTTTTTGTATGGGATAATGAAGGGACAAGAATATGATTTTAAATTATTAAATTTACTCCTATTAGATAATCTCTATTCCAATTTCAAAACCTAACTTATGATATTCTAATTATGAGCAATGATTTCATGCAACCGTTGTATAGTAATATGATGCAACAACCTTAAAAAACCTTCTTATGGCCATTTGTTTGATCCAAATTTTGAAATATACACTCTTTTCATTCTAATGAACAATCACAAACAAAGAAAAAATTGAAAACATAACCTAGAAAGTATTTTTTTAGCCCAATTAACATATGCCCATTTTGGTGAGATGCTTAGATCTAGGTCGTAGAAGGATTTTTTCATTTCCAATTTTTTTGGACGACTTTATTATCATTAGATGAACAATGTTAAAAAAAAAAAATGATTTTGTGTTTATAAAGGCTAAGATCTTGAAATTCACAAAATGAATGGTCTAGATTCGTTATTCGTTTTTAGAGGGGACTCATTTTGACCATATCTAAGGTTCAAATTGAACTTTTGTTTTTTGGGGGATTGATTATTGAGATTGAGAAAGTGTGTGTGCAAAATTTGAGATCATACAAATACCACAAACATGGTTTTCTAGAAGTATCGTTTCATTACACTATGATACAACCGTTGCATTGGATCATTGCTCTCTAATTATTGGGATAAGTACTATTGATTTCAGAATTCACATTAATTTCCTATATTGGTTTCTCTTCTCTAAGCAACTTGTAATGGTCATTAATTCCTCCTTTTTTATTTGTTACTTCTCCTTTTACCAAGGCATGTTGCTACCTGTTATCTTCGTAGTCAGTAACTCATTCATCCACCGTAACATGCATATGGTCCTACTTTTAGACTGAAATTTGTGCAACTTATAAACGCAACAAAAGGCTCGCCTTTCGTTCCAATTGTAATTTACAAGATGGTTACATGCATTAGGAAGTTGAGTAAAAGTATCTCTTATTTATTAAGGTCAACTACATGCTTTTCTAAATTTTAAATTGTAAATAAAGGCATGGTCGGATAAACCACTCATTAAAAGTTTTGATGGGGTTGCACCATTAGATAGCTGAATAAAGGTATTTCTTATTTATTAGGCATTCCTAAATTTAAATGAAGGCATACTAGATAAACCTCTCATTAAGTGTTTTGATGGGGTAAATGAAGCCATGCTAGATAAACCTGTCATTAAAAGTTTCAATGGGGCTGCATGCATTTTAAAATTGAAGAGAACAAAACCAAGTTGCCTTTCATTGAAGTAGGAAACATTACTGTAGAGACACTCCATGTCTAAGATGCCGAATCTTCGAAAAAGTTGTTGATACTAGTTTGAGCCTGATGTGTGGACACGCACTACCAGCCCAAAAGGGGGACGGCATTGTAACACTCCAATTGGTGCTTTTTTTAGGAGATTCAACCTTGTCACGCAAAGAAACTCTCTCTAGTATAGCTCAAAGTTGACAGTTGCACTATGTTCCCCTTTGGACGTGGTATTAATTTTGTGGTTTTCCATACAACATGCTTAATGCTTTTGTTTTTGATGGAGCTTATTATTTTCTTTACTCGAGTCTTCTTAGCACCTTAACTATGCATGCGGTATTTGGCAAGTTCAAGAGTTGCAGGTTATTCTTACCATATATTGATATGGATAATTATACATGTGTTCTTTAGGTTGACATGGTATATGCTCCATTCATTGAGAGATTCCATATTTTCCTTTTGGATGTTATGAAATATGATCTGACAAGTGGAAGGCCCAGGCTGTCAACTTGGTTTGAGGTATGTATTTAATTTTAAGGAGATAAATTGCAGCTAGTTTTGTAATTAATTGACCTTCCAACTCTTTGATGAAAAGACTATATTCAAGCTCATGAAACACAAATTATAATACATGGTTCATGTTTTTGTTTTAGAAATGATGCATTGCTACTCCTCAAGTTGCAAGCTCTATTTTGTTGGACTGTGAATATTGTGTTAATGTTATTCAATACTCATCAAAAAGTTTTTGTTTGGCTATGTATGTCACCTGGTTCTTTTCATGTCTGATTTTCAACCACATCTTAATTAGGACAGTGATATGGTTTTTTTCTTATTTATGCAGAAAGGGCCAAAGCTTATGTAACTGAATATTTTTATCCAATAATGCACATAAACAATGGGCCTATATAATTTGCAACAAGGTATTATGTATGACAAAACACAGACAAGGAAACATATGGGCACCAGAAACATGTGGGTAAAATGGGATATACATGTGGATAACTCAGTTTCAATGATGGAAAACTAAGCTTCCGGAAGTATAAAAAACAAAATAATTAAAATAAGGATCACCACAAACCGTGACCATTGTTACAGGGTAAACTTGATTTTGGGTGGGAAGTCTGTTCCGGAAAGTCTGATACCATTTCCCAAATTTACAGGAACATGTTCCACCATGTTCCACCAATGGTCTGATATGCTTCTTTCTTTTAACAACTCTTTTCTCCTCAAAATTTTTTTTTTGGCTTTCAGTAGGTTGCTACTATAACTCATGCCTTCATAGGCCTTCATATTATTTGTTCCAGTATTTGTAAAATGCCAAATAGATTTTTCTCCTGGGTTAGATTCATGTAGTATCTAACTCAATTTCTTTTAGTCATTTTGTCGTTACTTCTGACATTAATGGTTTCTAATCCTAGAGTTTATCTTCCCTAAATCACAGCACCCTCTCAAGTGAGGAAATAACTTAAATAGCTGTATTATGCATCTTCATTTCTTGACTTAATGTCTGGGTCTAAAATTTTTAGTGGTTATTGTTCTCTCCCCTTGATCTCGAAAGGGATTTAAAAAGCATTGAAAGAGAGTGACCATTCAGCTCTTTTAAAATGTGACATCAGTTTGCATACTGCCAGCTTATGTATTGTGATGAAAATTGAACCCTAGATTCAAAATTATTTCTTATGATACAATTTTGTAATTTGAATGCCCTTTTTTTGAATTTTACGTAATTTGAATCCTTTCATTGGTTTAATCATTTAATGGGAAAAAGAAATGGAGATTCTTGTTCTGTTAATTTGTACTTAAGGAGGGAGTACTGGAGTTATTGTAAATGTGTGGACATTTCCATTTGCATATAAATGAGGAAGAACTGCATTAGCCGTGGTAGAACATGTGGAACTAAGATCTCAAACATGTCATGTAAGAGATTCACGAACTTCAATGATCTGCCTGATGAGCTTGGGTCACCCATCTTACAGTATAAGACCAAAAAAGAGAGATGGATTATATGACAAGTGGATGATGTTGTCTTGGATGATTAGCTTGGTCATGTTTATTGGCTTTTTCCACATTTTGGATGTACTTCCATTTGAAGTTGGATTTTGTTATTCCAGAAAATGAGAGAGTAGGGCTTTGTTACTCGTGTGTGCGTGCTTTTGTTTTGTGGTTTTTGGTTCGTTTTTTTCCTCCCTTTTTTTCCTTGTGTTTTTTTTTGGGAGGTGATTTGTGTGTTTCTTTTTCTGGGGCAGGGGGGTTGGTGGTGGTGGTGTTTAATTTGGGTGAGTACAGAGAGAGAGGTGAACAGCCTAAAAGTTTTAAAAAGTTAGACATCTCTCATATTTTACACACATTTTGTACAACCTGAAAGTGTGTTACTAAGTCATAGATTGCTAGTTAGCTGTCAGCTTAGTGGTAAGTTAAGGGCTTGAACCCTTGAGGTTTGTCCCAAAGAAACCAAAGAAGATGACCTAGCCTTTTATCTTAGCACTGCCATGCAAAACATCGTGGTTTCATTGTAGTCCTAAAGTGGGTGGCACTTGCAATGCAGGAGATAAATAAATTGGATTTCTATACACAGACCAAGTGTGATCCTCAGCAAGCTCTCAAAATCTTCAAGGAAAGATTCTCGGTAATGAAACTCCCTCTACCTCTGTCACTTGTAGATAACATGTTCATATCACCTGGTGCAGAACTCATTCTTCTTGTTTCTTGCTATTGTCAGGTGAAGTGAGATCAGTGGGAACTCTTCATATTGGGATGTTATCTCCCCAGTATCACATGCAAGGAATGAGTTACACATTTGGAAAGTGGACACTTATATTATTTATGTGATGTTTGATATGTATGTATATCATAAAGGTTCATTTTGTTGGAACCATATTACATCTTGCAATTGGGTTGTATTGACGTCCTTATGTCATATTCTTTCTAGTTTTCTGTCCATTTTGCTAGAAAATTTGTCATGCTCCTATGAAATTTACTCCTTGCTAGGATGCTTCATTTAGGATGGTCTGGAAAGAACTTAAAATGGATTATATGTGCTATTTGTTTACCGCTGTATTGATGGTCAAAGTGGGCAGTGTTTTTAGTGCTATTTACATCAGAGAAGGGAATGAAAATGCCACTTCCAAGGCAATTTCTTCCATTAGGAAAGAAACGGCCTCATGGCTGCTTTCTTTGTACAATTTACGGTGAGATGCTGCACTAATAGTCTCTGAAAACCAATGCATCTTAACCAACCTTCCACCCTGCATCATCACGACAAGCTTGTCCTTTGCTTATTAAGCAATATGGTGATCCTTATAGCTTGTTTAGTTCCCTAGTATGTAAACTCTTATTTTGACTCATTGTTATGGGATAGTATATAATGAGGCCATTTACATTTGATAGAAAGTGGTAACAGTTACTCACAACCATCTGTTGTGAAATTTGATAGCTTGGATGTATCACAAAGTTCGATAAATTTTTTTTTTTAAGTTTGAGCTTGGTCAATGGAATAATTGCCACCATCCAATGGTTAAGATTAATGTGATCAATTTGTACTAAAGGTAAATAATCTTATTCTAAACTTTCTCTATTGTTATTGTGCAAAATGGAAGTATACATATCTCGGTTATAGGGATGGTGTCGTTTAGATATCTAATTTTCTGTTGTTTGGGTCATCTGTATGTAAAACTTGGTTTTGTGGTATCAATCTATTATTAGCCTATTAGGTGAATCTCTTCATGTTGTCTTTGGTGGTGGCAACGTGCTACAAACTTGGCCCTGAGCCGGCTCTTGTCCTTGTAAGGTAGGCCTAGGCCTGGCCTTGGCCCTATTAGAGCAGGCCGGGCTGGGTAGGGCAAAAAACAAATGAAAAAAAAAGAAGAAAACAAGAAAAAGAGAGGGCAGGGCTGGGCCGAACTGGGCTTACATTGTCCACTTACTCCAGCCCGGCCCTCGAGCCACAATCTGTGGCCCAGGCCTTGCTTTTCTTAGGGCCGGGTCAGGCCCAGTTGCCTGGCCCATTGCCAACCCCTTGTGGGCTTTTTTCTTGGGGTACAAATACATTGATGTTCCTGAAGTTGTTCTTCCCCCAAGATGGACAGTTATTTTCAGTTAATGTTTCTAATAACAAATAAAAAGTGTCGTCATTCTGTCTTGGTTCATTGTACTTCCTTTGAACATCATACATAATTGTACATTTTGAAAATAACATGGAGATAGAGGACTTAAAACCTTCTCACTCTAAATCTAAAGAATGGGGACATGGTGCAAAGCTCAACATTAGATGCGGTCTCAACGGTCATTGTTCTTATTAGTTTGATTGATGGCCAAAAATCTATGGCAAAATGACTGATCGTAGCTTTTCCTTATGCTTACATCTTTGTGGAAACATGCATAAAATATGAGAACTGATGATTTGGCCCAATGGTGAAAACGAAGAACGAGTGCTGAATGCAACAATGGTGATTAACAGCAAGCTCAATAGATCATTACCAAGCAAGTTCTTGAGAGCTAGACAAATTTTAAATTATAGTAAACTGAATTGTACTGAAACCTCTTGGACCGAATATATCCAGGAGAAGTAAAATAGAAAAAAAAGGAACCATAATACACACAAATCACGTAACAGTTTTAAAATTATTTGAGGAAATGCATCTGAAACAGGTAGGTCATCATATTGGAGCATGTAGACAATAACCTCGTGGCACTTTGGGCTATGGACCAATAGATGAGGCTGACAGTTCATGAACACCTTGTGAGCTTTCAAACATATCAATAGCAACACTTAAATTGGTTGCTGGTATGTTGTTTTTCAACATTATGTTGAGAATTAACAATAAGGCCCCTGAATTGGCTAGCTCAAATTCAGATTACATGATGGAAAAAAAATGCCCAAAAGAGTCACTCTTCGATCATACTACCCTGTCACATTCATTTCACCCAACAATTTCAATGCTGACTAAAAATATGAAATCTAAAGAATTCGAGGACTATGTTACTGAATCTATAATCATTCTATCAAGGAAAAGGTTTATATAAGATTGCAACCTTAAACTGTAATTAAGTTGCACATCAAAAATCCATCTGCAATGGCTATTTTGATGTTGGAACTTGGGAAATTACTTGTGTATATAATAGGATTAGTGATGAGTTCATCATATAAATGGTGGAGTTGTTGAGCCTACTGGAAAACGTAAAATTCTATCAAGGCTTTCAAGATGAATTGGTGTCAGAGGCTGAATGTGATGGGATATTTTCCGAGAAATCAGCTTATAATCTGTTATTTCATGACAGGATTAGGTAGAGTAGAGGCTCATGGCGTAAAGTTTGGGCTTGGAGGATACTACAAAAGGTGAAGGTGTTTTAGGTGATGTTTCAAAGGAAGAGTTTGACTGTTGATAATATTATGAAGCAAGGTAGGATTCTTACAAATATTTATATGCTTTGTAAGGAGTGTGATGAGAATGGTGATAATTTATTTTACATTGCCCTTTTACTAATAATATATGATGCTGGTTTCTTAACACATTCGGCATTGTTGGACCCTTACCACAAAGCTATACTAATATCATTGAGAATCTATCCTTCGATGGATTGCCAAAGGTGGGAAACATAATTTTTTAGATTGGGAGGGTAGCGGTTCTTTGGGAAATTTGGTTAGAGAGGAATAAGCGGGTGTTTGAGGGGCTAGTAATGGAGAGTAATTTGGTGAAAAAGAGAATTCAGCATACTATGTAGAGCTTGTTCTCAATTACGAAAGAAGGTTTTGGGTTTCAAAGGTGGACATGGAGGTGAATGTTAAGACTTTAATGCAGCAAAAGTTGATCAAGGTGAGGACGGTGAGTAGCTCCTGTGGGTGGAAGTTTAAAATTGCACTCTGATATTAGCTCGGTTGGGAATCCCGGGTTAACAGGTATTGGGGGAGTATTGAGGAATCACATGGGCAACTGTATCTTTTGTTTTTAAGGGCCATGTGGTATTAAAACAACAAATGAGGCGGAACTGCTCGTTGTGCATCAAGGGTTGAAAGTATTCAATGAGCATGGGTTTCAGGAAGGCAGTGTGATAGAATGTGATTCCTTAAATGTGGTAAATTGGTGCAATTGTCATTCTAAGCCACTATATAAGTTGAGATTGGTATGGATGGAAATTATGGATTTGAGTTGTGATATGATTGCTACCTTCCAACATATGGAGAAAGGAATGAGATAGCAGATGCCTTGGCCAAGAATGGTAGTTTATTGCAAGATCTTATCATTTCGGATGCTTTTATTAGTGTAGCTGCATTATGATTCCTTTTGATCAATAAAATTATGGAACATTTTTAAAAAAATAAAATCCTACACTCAATATTCAGTGTATTTGACTTATCCCAAGAGTGGGATGGTGATGGTTTCCGTTTATCATTATTGTTGTGAGATGAGGAGGGCCTCACCTGATTGCTTTTGGGCGTTTCCTATTTTCTTTAGATAAATAGTTGTTCCATAGAGAGGCAAAGAGTATAAAGAATCCTTACATAGTATGTGTGAAGGCAGTGACATTTTGTGTGATGAATGGGAAATTGTAGGAGAGGCTTTGCGTGAGTATTTCAGTTCTTTAGCTTTATCAGGTAAGAGTATGATTCTTTGTTGCTTAGCAAAAAATCACTTGTCTTTTTCACTTGTGGATATAGCCACACGTGTAATGAATCACGTAAAATCTTGGTGTTTGTTTTTACATTATTTTTTTCTTGCTTTTTTTTTTCGTCTTATTGTAGATGTTTATCTTTCTTTCTATTTACTTTGCTAAAAATCAACTTGTTGACTTTAGAGCTTCTACGCACAGCTATGCTATCAAAGCTTGGTTTAAAGGCAAAACATTTCAAATGCAAAATCCGAGGTGAAAACTAAAAATACAGAAATAATTTGAGAAGATGGCAAATCAATTTTCAGGACTTACCGATACAACAAGGATTATATAAAGTGTTGAAAGGAAAGGTAAATAATTAAGATTCCACATAGAACTAGGATTACGAAGGCTTAGATGTAAGGGAAATAAGTATAACAATATCATTGATGATTTGATAGCAAGGCTTTAGTTGAAGCTTGAAAGCTTATATATAACTAAGTCCCTCATGAAGTTTTGGTATTGGAAGTAACCACTGTACACCTGGAGGATGAATGAAGGTATAGACATCCATGAGCATTTGATCCAATTCAATGAAATTATTTTTCATTTATTCAACATTGGTGTTAAGATAACATAAGAGGATAAGGCTATGATCTTATTGCCCTCACTCTTTCATCCGTATAAGCATTCCTATCACGATGTTGATTTGTGGAAATGATGCCGTAGAGATGGAGCATATAACTGTAATTATTCGTGAGAATAATTTGAAAAAGATGCAGGGTAGTGCTCAACCACATGCACATGATTTAGTGGCTAAAGGGATGTCAGAGAAAAGAAAAGGAACATGAAATTCAGGGCACGTCCTATTGTATGGGTGTTGAAGACAAATCATATTTTTGCCACTTTCGCACATATGTGGTATTTGTTGACTTTTCCCTCTCTTATTTTGAGCCATTGGACTGAAACTAATCCAATAATTGTGACATTATAGAGACTTTATTATTTAAAACGATTAAAATCCTTTTGTTAAGAGAGAGAGAGAGAGTGCAGCTGGGTTTTTCTCTCATTGGTGCTATGCACTCTGTTTTAGAAATAGAAAGTGAGCGAAAAGAGTGAGCATTATTGTAGGTTTCTTGTGTGCATGTCTTGAGAGAGAAAGTGTGACAAAGGGACCCATTGCAATTGGGTTTTATTGGTTGTGCTGTAAAACGGTATTTGTAAAGTGAGAAGTCTCTGTTTAAAGGTTTTTGGAGACCTTATTATACATTGTAATCTCTTTGAATCAGTAACTAAAACTTTACACCATTCTCCGATAGATGTAGGTCACGATTTGTGGATGAACCATATTAAAACTTGTCTTTTGAGGTCTAATTGTTTTTCCAATTTTTTTCATATTTTGTATGATATTTCATATTGTTTTCATGGCATGTTTGTGTGGATGGGATGCACAATAACTTTTTATGCTTCACACCCCCAAT